TGGCATAGTAGAGCATATGATTATCTGATTAAAAATGGCAAATACCAGTCCACTTCAGCTCACTGATGCCTAGGATATTGATGTTTATGCTTTCCATCCATTTCATTTTTGGTGACCTCCAGTATTCCTAGATTTATATTTTGTACATTTGTTGTCTAGGTTATTAATGGATGTTTGCAGCTGTTTTTTCTCATTTTGAGTTGTGTCACATCAGCAAATGAATGTACTGTAAGTTTTACTCCATCCGTGTCATTAAGGTTGATGCTACTTTGAGGAGGCAACTCTTCACCAATCGTATTTTGAGTGCCTTCCAACCTGAGGGACTCATCTTCCAGCACTATATCAGACAAGGTTCCGTTTTTACTCATAAGGTTTTTACTGGCCAAGTTTTCCAGAAGGAGACCACTAGGTCCCTCTTCCTAGTCTGTCTTAGTCTGGAATGTCCACTGACAACTGTCTACCAAAGCTTAATTTGGGGAGTTTTAAAAAAATTAGTATTTTCATGTAGATTTTAATGTCTTTATATGTACTGAGAAGCAGTCAATAAAAATGAAAAAGTTACGATTAGAGTTTACAGAAGACTCGGGGTAAAAGTATTTTTTGTTTCTACCATTGTTCTTTTGTCAACATGGCTAATTGTAGAAAACAGTGATTTTTGTTTTTTACTTTAGAAAAGATATTTCTGAAAAAAAAAGAAAAATGGCTTAGAATTTTGTTTTTTATGTCTTAACTTTGTTCAGGTTTTTATAATACTTACAGTTTTAAGTATTTGAAATAAAGTTAGAAGTAAATGATTTTATTCTTGCTGAATAATTGATTAGATAATTTAATATTTCATTATATTTTTAGTAAAACTAGGATAACACTCCCTACTTATTTGTAGTGATGATGAATGAAACCCTGGTTATGTTATTTTGAAAAATTTTAGAGAGGTAATATTGTCATTGAAAACAAACTCTTTTTGAGCACCACTAGGTTTTGGATACTGTACTAGAAACTTTAAATACATGGTCTCATTTATTTCTTAAAACCTTGTAAGTTAAGTATTAGGTCTGTTTTACCTATGAGAAGTTTGAGGCTCAGTGAGGTTAAATAACCTTTTCAAGGTCAAGTATCTAACGTAAAGGAGCTAGGATTGAACCCAGGTCTTACCCAAATCCTGTGTTCTTTTCTCTATGTCATGTTGTCTGCCACTTTAGGTGGTCTCATGATTGCCTTATAAGTAAATTTGTGTTATTAATCTTGACCAAATACTTGTTACTCCTTCTTTTACTTTGCCGTATTTTATAGTCATATTTGTATTGAGTAATAGCTTTTTTGAGTTATGTCTCATACCATTTCCATATGAAAAACAATTTTTCCATCTTTATTATTTGTTTATAATTCCATTTGTTTTTAGCTTCTGCTTACTCTTTGAATATATGGTATGTATTTTATTAATTTATTAAAATTCATTTCTGTTCTCAGTTGAGTGTATTGGTAAATTGTAGCACTTTTCTAGAAAACTAGCACTTTTCTAGAACTTACTAGAAAAAATTATTACATATGTCACTGCTTTTTTTGAACCTAAATGTAGGCATGAGAAACAAAACATATTAAAAGGAATTAAATAAGCTAAAAATGCAATGACTTATTTTTCCTTAGAGCTGAAGATACATAATCTGGTGTGCGTTGTTAAAATTTGTTCTTGTGTTCATTACTTTCATTGAATATGAATTCATTGACCATTTTTTTGTCTAGATATTTTAGAAAGCATATAGAAAAATAACTCATTCAAAAGCATACAAAAATATTTTATAAATATAAATAATTAGCTGTTATATAGATTGAAGATTGAGGATTTAAAAGTTAAAAAGTAGTATATTTAGAAATCTACAGTATTAAAGCTATCAAAGCTGTAATCAACTTATATTTGATGTGGTCTTTAACGGAAATGATTTTTAAAACATTTATATTTCAATAAATTAATTTAAATCAGTGTTTAAAGCTGAAATGGCTATAAAGATATACAGTAAGCACAACTATATGCATATATAACTATTAAAAAGAGAATTTATCTTTTAAAAGTATGCTAATATAAGAGACCAGATTTGGCAGTATGTGTGAACATTTTTATTGTGTGTTTAATGTGTCTGTCAGTCCTGACTTCCACCTTTCATCCATCATTTTATTGTTATTTTTTTTCTGCTTTCTAATGGAGTTGCTTAAATTTGAGGTAATGTGTTTTTGGAAGGCTTGTCAATATTAGTATACCCTTAATGCAGTACCTTTATCATCATATGGCATTTCCCGTTTTAAGGAAGTTTTGGAACTTCAACAACATTCTCATTTTTGTTTTATTAATGAAGTAAGTTTGAATCATCTGTAGATGATTATTTACTAATAGTAATAGACTATTAAAACAATAATTTTAATTCTAATGCACCAGCCGGATGGTTGCTTGAAATACTTTTATTTAATTATTTTGTAATTTAAAGTCTTTTAGTAAAAATTCATTATTGAATTCAATAATGTGGCTTCAAGGAAGTGCAAACTGTTTTATAGGTTCTAATATACTATTTCCACAGGGGCAAATATCTCTTAACTCCTTGGAAGTAAAATCTTTTATTCCATTAGGGAGTATTTATTGAGCACCTGCTAAGGACCAGGAACTATTTTAAGTGTCAGGAATACGAAAGTGAATTAGACCGGGTGCCTGCTCACATAAAACTTGAATCCCTTTTTGGAGGTCAAACAGTACATATACTAAATGCTTTTAATATATTCTTATAAATGCTTTCATAATGCTAACACCTAAAGAGCATATAAAAACATATAGCTATGAAATATAACAAGATATTTTTGAATATATTTACTTTATATTTTCCTTATTTAGTTTCTTTTGCATGTTGAAGTTTATTAGCAAGATAGGCATTAGATAGATGTTACATTTGGCTTACTGTATTTTATAAACTTTGAAGTGGAATCATGGTGTTTCAATGAAATATACACACAATTTGCATTTTAATATAAGCCATTATTTCTGTATATTGTGTGTCAGACACTGTGCAAAATCCTTTGGTAAGATATTTACAAGTAGGGATTTAAGTGTGGTAATTTACATTATTTTGTGATAAATTGGCATTTGTGCTACATGATTAAAACATAATTTAAAATAGCTGAATTGTTCCTAATGTATCTGTCAACATCCATAATGTTACTAACAGAAAATGATTCTGAGAGTCAAAGTTCTTAGAAGTAGTAATTTGAAATTACAACACCCATATCCATGTCAGTTACATGATCACTTTAAAGCAGAAGATATTAGGGTACACCTTTAACTTGAACACAGTTAAAAATACATGAATATTTAAACATTTTCTTCTTTGAAGTATGTGAAAAAAACATGTAAATAGTTGTGCTGTATATTATATTGAAACACTTCGTATAAGGTGTAACTAAGAAATAATGTGACAGATTGTCTTTTCAGTGTATCAGAATTAGTACATTTAAATGAATGTTCTCCATCAAAGGTCGGGCTGGGCACATATCTCAGACATGCTGCCATTCCTGACAACATTTTTGAAACTTCAAAACCAGCTTGGGAAATGCATAAAAAAATTAATTTCAATAATTTCTGGTTATTAAAATAAACCCAAGTGTTTGATCATCAGTTCAGTTGCCCACCTTGTTTATTAGGCTGTTTCCGAAACTGAAAACTAAAACCACTATAAATGGATGAAGATATACCACCACTGAGGATCCTTAAAAAAAAAAAAAAAAAAAGAAAAAAGTGTGGCATGTACTCTGGGTGTCCAGAAGAGTAGCAGAAGATCTCTTGAGCAGTAGTGTCACTGTCACAATAAGTTAGTTGCCTTCTCAGCTTTCTCACTTGAACACAGAGGTAGTATTTGTAATAATGTATGGTATATGTGACTGCTGGTGTGTTTATTAAGAAAGAAATTTATTTATTTATATCTCTTCCATATTATGGAGCTCTGGTGGCACAGAGGTTAAGAGCTACAGCTGCTAACCAAAACATTGGCAGTTGGAATCCACCAGCCACTACTCGGATAAACCTATAGGACAGTTCTCTGTCCTGTAGGGTTGCTCTGAGTCGGAATTGACTCAGTGGCAATGGGTTTTACTTAGTAACAAAGAATATAGGCAGTGAAAATTGTAACTTTGAGAATGTAAAAAGTAAAACCAGTAAGCAATATTAGAAATACGAAGTTCTTTTACTAATGCCACTCGCAGGAAACCATACCCAAAACGTAGTACTTAATCTTTCTAATAGCTGAGGCTTTCATGTATAGGAATTTTGTATTTCTAAGATTTGTGCTACCTGTCTTTATCTTATATTATTTTTAACTGATAAAATGATTGTTTTGATAATAGATGTTAATTTCATGTTTTAAAAAGTATTCAAATGCATTCAAGCAAATTCATGTCCAGCTGTTATACCTGATGATACAGTGATCCAGTTTGACAAAACTATATGGAGCATCAATTTGGTTACTTCTTTGGACAAAAAATGTTTTCATTACAGTTAGAAAAGTGATTCACCAAGATCAAACTTTGTTAGATGTTTGCATATATACGTTTTTAAAGGAAAAGGAAAAGGCTATGCTATAAAATTGAGAGAAAGTATATGTAGACATAACTTGTATATCCTCTTTAAACTCAGAGGGTTAAAGAACAGAATTTAAAAGTCAGTAAATTCAGATTTACAGTTTGGTGCTTATTTCAGACACATAAAGTAGGATGCCACTTTTTCATTTCATGTATTAAGTAAGTGAGGGTGGTGCATCTTGGACAAGTTTAAAAAATCAGTTTGTAGCCAAAAAAGGTGTAGGGTGGCAGTGGAGGTGTTAGGATGAAGAACCAAGTTAAAACTTCTAAGGATTATTTCAGTTTAAGAACAACAACAATAATAAAAATCTATGTAATCTTAAAACTTTTGTATACTATTTCTGTTTTCATTTCAGTTTGCTCTAATTATTATTATTATTTTTATTTAGGCTACAATAAGCCAGCTAAGGAGTGAACTTGCCAAAGGTCCCCAGGAAGTTGCTGTGTATGTGCATGAACTACAAAAACTTAAAAGTTCAGTTAATGAATTAACACAAAAAAATCAGGTGAGAATTTTAAATCTACATGTAGTGTGAATTGATTTTATGTATCTTAAATTTTAATCTTGTGATTTTATATTGGCACAGTAGCAGTATGACTTATTCTGTATTTTTAATGTTAATATTTTTCCCTTTTCTTTATAAATAAGAGATAATATTTCATTTTTGGGGGGGAGTAATGGTATTAGTACTTTTTGTCTGTGTCTTTTTTGGTGGTTGGGGAGCAGTGAGTTATTAAACCCTTTTATTTGATTGTGAATGTGTTGGCTTGCCTTAATAATTTGAACCTAATGTTTTGGTAAAACATAACAAGGAAAAAGTCAAGAAAGAAAAGATAGGAAAAAGAGATACATATAATTGGCTGTAAACTTTTAGCTTAGTAGTTGATTGTGCTATTGCTGATAACTCTTGTTTTAATTTCTATTTGCTGACATAGCAAGGAGCCAAAGAATAAGAATCTTGCCTGAGTGCCTTATAATCTTTAGTATGTTCCTGTCTGATCTTGTAATGCATCTTCTAATCTGGCCATGCAAAATGTGTTTGACCTTGGAAGTGTTTGTATGAATGTTCTAACTATAAGTCTATTCAGTTTTTTGAAGGTAATATTTGTATAACTATTATACTGTGCATAGGTACACTAAGCAAGAGGCACAGCGGGCAAATCCTACTTTATTGTTAACTGTGTGGTAATGATCAGCATGAATCTACTCCTACCTAGAAAAGGATCCAATCCTCACCTTCCCATTTGTTCATCCTCATCACCAGCCAGTCCAAGCAGTACTCCCTCATCCCCAGCCACCCAGGGCCAGATCAAGGGGTACCAGCCTCAAGCACAGGAGTCCACATGACTGCTTGCACTTCAGGCCAGCTGGTGCCTTCTCTGTCTCATCCCCAGCCAACTGGGGCAGGTCAGTGGGCATTGGCCACAACCTTGGAAATCTACATGATTTCACCAATTCAGACCAGGTGACCACTTCTCTAATCCTAGCCACTCTGACATAGATCAGGGCACACTAAAGTTAAAAGGACACAGTCCTTCAGACTGCCAAATAACCAGACACCAGCCCCTGCTGGCTCTCACTCCTCTGTAGGTTTGATAATTTCTTGCAACAACTCACAGGATATATGTAGAGTATCTATACTTACAGTTACCTATTTATTAGAACCAGAAAGGATACAAATGAAAAGACATAGGGTGAGGTATAGGAGGAGTCCCAGCATGAGGCTACCTTTGTACTCAGGGACACACAGCCCTCCTGATAGCAGATGTTCTCACCAATCCAGGAAGCCCAAGGAACTCTTCCCTGTTCAAACCGTTTTATTGACTTCATTGCATAGCCATTGGAGCCTCATTCCATAGCCATGATTGATTGAATCATTGAATATGCATGATTGATTGAATCTCGGCCCCCTCTCTTCTGGAGGTTAGTTGATGGGGGGAGGGAGGGGTGCGGTCTGTGTAGCCCTACTCATTTGCACAAAATTTTAAGTGTTGCCTGGGGGTTTTAGATAACAGAACACCTTGATAACTTAGGAAAAGCCAAGGGCTATCCTTCAGGAACCAAAGACAAAGACCAAATCAAGGTTTTTGTTTCACAATCGGTGATTAAAAACAAAAAAAAAAACTGTAAAGTGTCTTTTAAATTTAGGTACATTAATAAATTATAGTATATAATGAACTAAAATAAACTCTTGCCATTCAATGAACTGGTAAAATGTTGTATATAATATATTGGAACACAGACTGATATATTGTCATATGATTCATAAGAAGTTAGTGAACTTATAATCATGGTTTTTGTGTGTTTGTTAAATTAGGAAGCTCATATTTTTTCTTAGACAGAGGTTGACAGACTGAAAGCCTGCAGGCCAAATGTTTTTTTTCACCTGTTTCTGTAAATAAAGTTCTTTGGGAACATAGCCACTCCCGTTTGTATTATCTGTGACTGTTTTGTGCTATCATGACACAGCTGAGTAGTTGCAACAGAGGCCATATGGCCTGCAAACCTAAAAAATTTACTGTCTGTCTCTTTAAGAAAAAGTTTGCAGATCCTCCAAATGAGACTCAAAATGTAGTTTTTTTCCTAATATGTTGGAGGTAAATTGAAAATGAAGTAAAAATTATACCTGCCTCAAAAAATTAGGTAGTTTTCTATATTTTTCTCTCAAATGGGCATTTTGAGAGCATAAGGAACAAGTTCACAGTATTTTGTTAATAATTATTTCTTATAATTTAAATCTATATGTTATGGTATTATAATGTGTTAAAACAAAAATCATAGTGAGCCAATAATAGAAATTGCTCGAAGTTTATTTAATATACAATTTGTAAATCAGGGTAACATTTCAATTTAGAGAGTCAAAAATGTTCCAAAGAGGAAAGAAATTCCAAAGATTCTTACACGTTTCTTATTGACATTGCAATGGAAACAGGGCCAGAACAATGTTTATATAATAACAATTTACCCTAGTCTGACCTTGGAGTTTCTGTTTCTTGAAACTGACTGCATATAGATAATTCTTCAAAACAGCACAATGCCTAAGGCAAAACAAAAGGTATTTACTAATTTATCTAGATCATTGTTTGACTCAAACGTGATTTTAGGAAACCAGTTCTCTCCTGGCTCAAGGTCTAAAGATTATGTCAGGGCAAAGCTTGTGTAGGTCACCCCAACTTCCATGGAACCCAGAAATTTGGATTTCATAAGAATTAAAACTCCATTTCTCAAATGTTTCTCAGAATGACTTTATAGCCTTATTGACAATTTCCATTTGTTCATTTCATTCAGTAAGTATTTACTGAACTCTTTGTATGTGCTAGATACTATCTGACACATACTTTTTTATTTATTTATTTATTTTTTAATTTTTTTATTGTATTTCAGGTGAAGGCTTACAGAACAAATAGTTTCTCATGAAACAGAAGTA